TGCTGGTAGAAATGGTAAACTGAAAGATCACATCTTCTGCACACAGGAAGCATAGACCCAGAAATGGTTTGTGACTATAAGTTATCAAATGCCACTGCCAGTGAGATGCAAGGCTCTACATCGTAAAGGTTCCACAACTCCTAGGCAAATGGAGTCCTATTCAGAAAGTCCTTCCCTACACCGACATCATCTACCTAAGTTTTCTTCTAGTAGTTTCACATGTCAGGTTTCATACCAAACCAGGTATGATTCATTTGTAGTGAAATTTTGTGGAAAATGATATGTATGGATCTCTAATTTCATTCTTCAGTCTGTGGATGTCAGGTTTTTTGAAGATGCTGTTTTATCTCCAGTGTATGTTTTTATCAACTTTGTCAAGTCTGTAATTATGTGTACTCGTGTCTGTGTTTTGTTTCATGGGCTTACATGTTTGTTTTGTGCCATTACTATAATTTTTATTACTATAGTTTTGTACCGTATCTTGAAATCTGGGGTGGTAATCCTTCTGACATTGTTCTTCTGCTCAGGATTCCTTTGGCTATTTAGGATCTTTTGTGCTTCTGTAGGAATGTCAGGATTTCTTTTCCTCAAATTTTTGAAGAATGCTCTGGGGAATTTGATTGGGATTCTACTAAATCTGTAAGCTGCTTTTAGTAGAATGGCCATCTTCACAATATTAATTCCACCAACTCATGGACATGGGAAACTCTTCATTTTATGGTGTCTTTCTCAGTCTCTTTCTTCAGAAATTTAAACTTTTCATCATAAAGGTCCTTTACCTCCTTGGTTAGGTTTATATAGTGGTGAATAGTTAATCTACTATGAGTTCTCGGTGGGTCAAATGTGTTCTGCCCGTACCAAAGAGCTTAGATTCGTGAATGAAGGCACACACACACACACACACACACACACACACACACATACGTGCACACAGCATTTATATTTTACTATGCCTTGACTAGCTCAAGGGCTGCGTACTTCCAAAGCTCTCCGTGGCTAGCATACACTCCCTTCTGGTATTCTTGAACTAATACTTGCCAAATCTTTTTTTTTTTTCTCTGCTACCCCAGACCCATTTGGGGGAGTGGTCCCTGGGGCCACTTTCCTGGATTCTTCATGGCACATGGTCCAACCTATTCCCCTCTCATGGTGGAATCCCTTCTTCTCCCTCTGTCTTTCTTGCCTGGGAATCCTAAAAGTCTTGCCTCTTTCACCCTGCCCAGCCATTGGCTGTTGGCTCGTCATTGATCAATCAAAAACCAACTGGAAACAGGGACCCTCAGCATCCGGACATGATTTTGGGAGCCAAAGTAAGACAAAACATTAGATCCAATCTCCAACAGGTTTATACCTAGATACTTTATTTTCTTTGAAGATGTGGATAGGAGTGTGCCCATGACACTTCCCTCTTTCCCTCTCCCTGTCCCTCTCCCCCCACCTCTCTCTCTCTGCATATCTGTTGATATATAGTAAGGCTATTGATTTTTGTACGTTGATTGCAATCCAACAATTTGCTAAAATTTGTAAAAAGTTTTCTCGTGGAATTTTGGGGAACTCTTCTATACATCATATCATCTTTGCATAGGGAGTAGTTGAATTCCCTTTTCCTATCTGGATGCCTTTAGTTTCCTTCTCTTATGTTGCTGATTTTTAAGGAGATTGCTTTCCATTTCCCCCTGCGTAGGATGAATTTGACTGTGGATTTTTCATACACAGTCTTTATTATGTTGTGGTATGTTCACTCTAGCAGTACTCTCTAGGATGTTTATTTATCATGGAGACATGTTGGATTTTATCAAAGGCTTTTTCTGTATCTACTGAGATGACCATGTGATTTTGTGAGTCCATTTATTTATTACATTTATTAACATGGATGTAGACCATCCCTGCATTCTGGCATGAAACCAAGTTAATCTTCTTTTTTTTTTTTTATGTGGTTGCTGGGAATTGAACTCAGGACCTCTGGAAGAGCAGTCAGTGCTCTTAACCACTGAGCCATCTCTCCAGCCCCAAGTTAATCTTCTTGTTCTGTACCTGCATTCTGTTTGAAAATATTTTATTGAAGGTTTTTTAGTTCCTGTTCTTCAGGGACATTGGTCTTAGGTTTTCCTTTGGGTTGTGTCTTTTCCTAGTTTGGGTATTAGAGTAATACTGGCTTCACAGAAGGGGTTGGGGGTGGTGTTCTTCTATCTCTGCTCGTTTGAATAATGTAGTTACATAGTAGCTATAGATCTTCCCAGAAATCCAGTAGAATTCTACTGTGAACCCATCTAGGCCTTCAGTTCTTTTAGTCAGAGGCCTTTCAATTATTGTTTCAGACTCCTAGTGCTATGGGTCTGCTGAGGTTCTTGCTCATTTCTTGGTTTAACTTTGGGGGTTTGGATGAACCTCGAAATGTATCCATTTCTTTTAGATGTCCCAACTTAATGGAGTACAAGGATTTATAGTATTTTCTTATAATACAATAAATTTCTTTGAAGTCTGGTATAATGTTTCCCTATTCATTTCTGATTACTAATTGGGTCATCTCTTTCTTTTGGTTAGCGGGGCAAAGTTCTGTTGGTTTTGTTTATCTTCTTAAAGAAACCCAGCTCTTAGGATTGTTTTCTTGTTTCTACTTAATGAATTTCTGCATTAATAAAAATAGGATCTTACAATGTAACCCTTCAAAGTAAGGTACTAGCAATTCGGAGGCATGATTTTGGTAGTGTCAGTATCTCCTCAATGACAGCAGCTTAAACTGGGAAATGGTAATCCAGCTTACATCTTGTCTGTGTGTTTCAACATCCCTTGTTTCTGGACCACATTAATGAAAGTCATCATTAAAATCTTTTTGAGGGATTCTGTTTTCCACCAGAAAGAACTATGGTTTTAAAAAGCACCCTCCCCTACATCAAATAGTTAAACAAAATTCTTCCTACAAACCACATACAGAATATTAGCACTTGGAAAAGTTATTTCTGGTATTAGCTGGAATGTCTTTATCTCCAAATACCACACAGTCCTAATCATAAACAAGAAATGGGTATTGCTGTAAATAATACGAAGTCCCAGAAATCTACATAAAGTATTTGTAAAGGGCTAAACAACTCCATGACATCATATCTGGCTCAGCTGTCTGCACTGTCACCACTGCCCATCCAGACCACAAACTATATGCCAGCATCGTGTACAGGTGTCTATAAATGCATACCAAAAGGTCTGATTTCTTTTCATGTCTCTTTTGACTTCTCATCTTTTCCTGTTACGACAACTTCATCACTGAGAACAATTCCAGTATTGCACAGCATTCTCTAACCTAAGCAAAACTGCCAGAACGGAGCGTCCATGGTTAGCTTTGACGAATCTGGATTCATTCCCCAAACCACCTGGAGAGGAAGACAATGAGAGAAAACTCAGCTCAGGAAAAGTGACCAGCATCTCTTAAGCCACTGATCAGTGTGTTTCCAGAGGGTACTAGGAGGGAACAAAGGAGGGAGAGAGACTATACAGGCATTTCTAGTTCTAAATACAAGTATATAATTACTGAGTTACACAGGACTACACTTACATGTAATCATGCCTAAATAGATACACAATGAAATTCCAAGGGTATAATATGAATATTTTATTATATACTACCATTTTTATACACTACCATTTTTAAATTTGTAGAGTGTAGTATTACCATTTACAACTCAAGTTAAGTCACGTAAATAGCATTTTTATTAACAACATTTATATGATTGACATAGAGGTAGCTAAGAAAAGGTCTCAGAAATATACTGTTTGATTTCCTCATCAAATGGGTAGTTTGGTAATAATGGCCATACTTATTCATAGTCCAGAATAGTGAAAAGTCTATGATAATGTGTGTGTGTGTGTGTGTGTGTGTGTGTATGAAGAGAGAGAGAGAGAGAGAGAGAGAGAGAGACAGAGACAGAGACAGAGAGAAAGAGAGAGAGAGAGAGAGAGAATATGAGAATGTAACAATGTTACTTGAAGCATATACTGACCAAGCTATCAAGAGACTGCTAGTATTTAGAACTGGATAGTTCTGAGGTAATTAAAAGGCTCAATAAACCATCTTTGGCTTCTTTATTATAGAGGCAATTTGATAATGATGGCCAGAGCCATTTATTTATTTTAGGAAATACAAAGAGGAGCAGTTTAAGTTTTAAATCTACTACATACTTTATATGCACACAGCTTCTCTGGGACAATCACACTCTGACACATGCTTCATCACTTTCTATAGTATAAATACTCTAAGGCCAAGCTATGGACATGAGAGTAGGGATGGCATGTGGGGCTCTGAAGGAAGTATGCAGTAGTACACCACTCCACAGCACTCTTGGCATGTAGACCAATGGTCACAGCAAAGACAACAGTGAAATACAGCAAAGTGTTAGGAATGACAAGACTATTTATTTCCTTTGCTCTCAGTATAATTTAACTGCAATTTCATGTAATATTAAACAATTAATCCACAAAATTCCTGACATTTTAAGAACCATCAGCACTTTTAAGTGGTATGAGCTGCCTTCATGACAACACCACTTGTGTACAGGTACATGCATACAAGTATATTTACATGTACAGACATCTAGATCCACAGTCACAAATATGTCCAGAAACATACATAATCCTATCCACCTATAAAGATGCTGGTGGTATTTAGTGTGGGAAGTATATCATTACGGTTATTAAACTAAGGGTTCATATTCTTCCTCACTTCCTTTCTGGGTTCCAATCCATAAATCAAGGGTTTCCTAGACTTCTGTTACATTAACTTACTCACACACGGTCTCCAAACACCGGATGTTCTTTACACGTATGGTTAATGCTGGAGACACTCATTTTTAAGTTTTATACTTTCCTATGAACACAAGTAAAATTAACATTAGCCATCATATTTAAAGTACAATTTTGAAACACATTTGGAAGACATTACACAATTTAATTTCAATTTAATAATAATTTCATATTATTTATATGACTAATTTCCCTTCAATACAATCTTTCAAATGAAAGTTTTATTTTCTTGAAAGCTTTCATGCATTCCAACAAAATGGAATTTTCTAGTACTCTGTGTTATTTTCTTTGGCAGGCTCTAAGCTCATGTTTAAAACTGTACAACTGACTTGACAGGCATGCAAAAGCTAACCGTTCAGGATGCTAAAAGAGCTTTCACCCTCGTGTGGATTCTCTGGTGCTTGGTGAGGACTGACCTCTGGCTGAAGGTCTTCCCACACACGTTACACTCATAGGGTTTCTCCCCTGTGTGAGTTCGCTGGTGTTTGGTAAGAGCTGATTTCTCACAGAAGGTTTTCCCACACTCATTGCACTTATAGGGCTTCTCCCCTGTGTGGGTTCTCTGGTGTACAATCAGGTTTGACTTCACACAAAATGACTTCCCACATTCATTGCATATAAATGGTTTTTCTCCTGTATGTGTTCTCTGATGGACTGTTAGGGCTGACCTGTGGCAGAAGGATTTCCTACATGCATTGCATTCATAAGGTTTCTCCCCAGTGTGTGTTCTTTGGTGTTCAGTAAGGTTTGACTTGACACAGAAGGTTTTCCCACACTGCTTGCACTCATAGGGTTTCTCTCCCGTATGTGTCCGCTGATGGTTGGTAAGGTGTGGCTTCTGGCAGAAGGCTTTCCCACATTCGGTACATTCATACGGTTTCTCTCCTGTGTGTGTTCTCTGATGTTGGGTAAGGTTCGACTTCTCCCAAAACATTTTACCACATTCACCACATTCAAATGTTTTTTCTCCCACGTGAGGTCTTCGAGACTGGGTGGGATGTGATTTTTTGCTGAAAATTTTCCTATTTTCATGATATTCATAGGGTTTGCCCCCCATCTGTATTATCTGATGCTTAAAGAGAGCTGGCTTTCCCCAGGTTCTGTCACCCACTCTATACTCTTGGGCGATCCTTCTTGTGTAAGCTTCCTGGTGAACGACGAAAGCTGACTGGTCACAGAAGAGTTTCTCATACTCATTACACTCATAAGGACTGTTTCCTGAGAGAGCTCTCTGAGGTCCAAACTGTAAATCCACATAGAAGGACTTTCTACAAATACTGCATTCATGGGGCTCCATATGCAAATGAGTCTTCTGAGATACACTGAGCTTCAAACTGTCAACAAAAGTCCTTCCACATTCAGTGTGCATATCAAGAGTCTCGCCTAGCTGAGAGTTCTGACTTCTACAAAGGGCCGCTTCCTCATGGAAACCTCGCCCTGCTTCATCGTACTCAAAAGACTGATCAGTAACGGGCCGAGTGAGATCCCGACAAAGGCCGAGGACAGTCCTTTTCCCATCATAGTCACACGGTTTTGTTCCTACAGGAATTCTCTCATGCCTACTGTCAGGGAGTGGTTTCCTATATATACTACACTCATTACGCTTCTTTCTGGAATAGTTCTTTTTGCTAATAATTATAGCTGAAATATTCTTTAAATTCATCTCACATGAGTCACATACTTTGAGCAGAAAACTTCTTGAAGAAACAGAGTCAATGTTTGGACTGGAAGTTTTTCTTGTGTTACCTCCGCTCTCTAGATCTGTGGTCTTGTTGGTGAGCATGAGTGGCCAAAACGGTCCACCTTGATTTTCCTGGTTGTTCTCCAATAGGTCATCCACTTTCCATTTCCTTTCTATAAATGAGAAAAAGAATTGCCACACCTTATGAATCTTAATACTTGTTCTTTCTTTTTTTTAAGAAAGGCTTTTACTAAGGGTGGGGAAGCACACAGCAGGCATACAGAGAATAAGGCCCTCCACAAAGCAGAGGAGCGACCTGAGAAGCTAAAATGCCTTAGCACATGTCTAATGGATGTAAACTTTTTTATAGTTCTTTTGTTTTAGATTCCATTTCCTGATACAAACTGAATCTAGTATGTTTCCTTTCCCATCCTGGTTGGAACAGAAACCACTGATGTGGATTTACAGATGTGGAAGCAGCTGTGCATAGGGAACTGATTATAATATTTAAAACATTATAAACTTCAAAACTCAACACAAAAATACAAAATGAAATTCAATTCATAGGGAATTCATTAACTGATCCAGAAGTCACAATATTCAAAATGATAAGTGAGCCCAGCAAACAATGAAAACCAGCAAAGTGGCAGTAAAGATCAGTAGGCAAAAGGTTTCAGAGAGTGAACTGCACTGGGTGGAACAAGACAGGGGAAGAGCCTGACACCTTGCACACAGCACCAAAAGAGGTCCCCATCAATGCCTGGCTTTTCTACACTGCACATGATGAACTACTTAGAGTTCTGGAAACACCTATTTCTTCAGGTTCGAAAGGACAGTCTGGAAGCCTGGGATCAGAGGATTTCTGCTTTTTCTTTTCTTTTTAAAGATATATTTATTTGTATTTATTTTATGTGCACTGGTGTTCTGTCTACATGTATGTCTGTGTGAGGTGTCAGATTCCCTGGAACTGGAGTTACAGACAAGTTGTGAGCTGCTGGGAATTGAACCTGGGTGCTCTGGAAGATCAGCCAGTGCTCTTAACTGCTGAGCCATCGTTCCAGCTCCTGAGATTCTTTTCTTTACCTTTATCTATAGGAGGAGTTTCCTGAAATGCTGTGGGAAAGCACTCTAGAAAAGGTGAAATAAACTCCAAACTAGTAAACAGAAGTTAGCAGAGCTGTTATCCAAGGAACAAAAAACCCACAAAGGAGCAGTAGAACAGTTTTGAATACATAGAATATCTGAGAAATGTGACAAAGGAAGAAGTACATTGGGTTTATTCACAGATCACCTTCTATTCTGCTTCATATGCACCTTCCCTATCCTAGTTACTCCTAAACCCTCAGTATACATATTGTCCTATACTGGGTATTTAAGTCTGTCTTTATTTCTAGATTTTCTGCTTTAATATGTAGCTGTATCTTTTATTCAAATATAGGACCCCTAAACATCAAATTCTGTATCTGTTACTGAGACTTTCAATATACTTTATCATAAAAATCCTGGCTATTCTTAACTATTGGTGCTCAATGCGAGCATATGAATAGTCATATGCTTAATTTAAAAATTCTATAGCACTCTACTATCCCAGAGACCAACAATTAAGGTGATGATCCTAGCAGAACAAAATAAGCAAACAAATATTTTATATCAATTGACTTATATTAAACATTTAAGTCAATATTCAACATTCACATTAAAAACATGTACATGGAGGGATGAAAAAAAAAAGAAAGAAATCTCTCTCTAGTGATGTTTTCTGTTATCTATAGAGTAGTTTTTCTAATGACTTTGGTCACAGGACAGTCTGGCACCCCTGGAGTGTCTTGCATTATTGAGTACTGTAGACAGTGCACAGCAAGGACTAAAGTTGCAGGGCCACGAGGTTTTCCTTCAGGAAACATACAGATTAGATCAGGGGATTTGGTATGAGGAACTTGTTTTACCCAAAAAACGTTAATGTAATAATCAATAAATGTGCTTCCGTGTGGCTGCTGGAGGTTCAGTTCATCAAGGCTGGAGCTCCCTGCTGCCTCAGAGCCTGATTACACTCTGGAGTGACCCTCTTCCTGTGACTGACTCGTGCAACTCAGAACACCAACAGAATACAGCAAGCACACAATCCTCTCAACACTTCACAGATCCAGTATTAATTATTTGAAAAAAAAAAAAGATGAAAAGACTCTGAAAGTTTAGACAAAGGAGAGACTAGAAACATAGTTCAAGCACCAAGAAGTTTGCTGTTTTACATCAATTTGACACAGCTACCGTCATTTGAGGGGAGGGAAACTCAACTGGGAAATTGCTTCCATCAGATCACATTGTAGGGCCAGCCTGTAGGGCATTTTCTAATTAATGACATGGAAGGGCCCAGCACACTTGACTCCTTGGACTGGTCATCCTGGGAACCATAAGAAAGCAGTCTGAATAAGCCAGGGGAGAGCAAGCCAGGAAGCAGCACCCCTTCATGGCCTCTGCATCAGCTCCTGCTTTCAGGTCCCCACCTGGTATGAGTTACTGCCTTGGCTTCCTTCAGTGTAAGGCAAATAAACCCTTTCCTCCCTGAGTTGCTTTTGGTTGTGGGGTTTCATCCCAGCTAAAGAATCCCTAAGTAAGACAGAAATTATGATGTTTAGTATAAATTCTAGAGAAGAAAAAAATATAAACCAGGTAGAACAGAATCATGTACAAGTCAGTGGCAGAAGACTTTAATGTGGTTCTATGTGCTAGTGAAAGAAAAAGTGGATGCTTCATGTGAAGAAGGAAGGGAAGGAAGGCAAACAGCAACCACAGGAATGAAGCGAGCACAGATGCAAGTCTGCTTTTGAGGGAGGTCAGTGGACAGTGCCCCTTACGACAGGTGCAGGAGTTGAAAGGAAACCAGTGAGGTGAAGCCAGTGGGAGTGAACACTGTAGTGCAGGGGACCCACAGCCACCCCAGCCACCCCGGCCACCCCGGCTGCCACGAGGAGGAACTAGTAAGATGGAAGGTTGGATTTACTTGGTTCCTCAAGAAACGGATTTGGGGTTCTGTATAGTTCAGGTTGTTCCTCCTACACCTCCTCTAATGGATGGATTTAGTAACTTTATGAAGATGTACCAGCCTGTGATTGCTCTGACATAAAACCACAGCCTAGAAAGGTGGCTGGAAAACTATGGCACAGGGTAATTCCTTATAATCAGAAAAATCATTTTTATTTTATTTTTTTAAGGGAAACAGTAGAAAAAGTAACAGAGATGTGGGAAGAACAAGGGGGTGTGAGGACCAGGTGGAAAAAGATGGAAGAGCAGCAGTAGCAACCCAGGCTCTATGTGACACTGCACCGAAAATATTTACTGTCTGGATTTTTACAAAGAAATCTACCTCAGCTCTGGATTTCATCTATCCCCAGACCATGATACCATCTAAAATGAGGGCTTCAGGTAGACACATTTAAGTTCCAGCCTCAGCAAACCGTTACCTCCAACTTCTCCTGTCTAAAACCGAATCTATAATAATCCTTTCCAATGTTTGTTCTGTATTTTCTCTTAGTAAGTAGCTTCCTATCTTGTCTAGTTGCTTGAGAAAAAGAATTCCAGTCATGTATGACTATTCCTTTACCCTTCATCCAACAACAATCTCTGTGGCTCTATTAGATATCTGTAGAAACCCAGTGCTTCTCAGCATCTCTGGGAAGGTCTTAGCTACTACCCTCTCCTCTGGAATATACAGTAGTCTCTTAGCTGGTGCTTCCTCCTACCTCGTGCCCACCCACTAAACATGCCACAACTACAGCATAGGCCAGATAAATCCTTTGAAGATGAAAGTAAGTCTGATGATTCAGTCTGGTCTACATTAACTCAAGACAGAGCTTCTTACATCCCTTGAGATGGAATTAGTCTATATTCCATGAAGCACCGATATACAACTCACATCACTGCCAGGAGTCTTACCCATCCTCCCTGCTTTCCAACGACACTGGTCTCTCTGCTATTGTTCAAGCAGAACAAACCTGTCCTAGAGGCCTGGCACCTCAAGTTCTCTGTCTAGAATACTTTCAGTCCATGGTTCACTCTTACTCCATTGAAGTATAATATATAGCATGGACCGCATCTACGTTCTCTCTGACCTCTTTGCTAACTAGTACACATCCTGCTTCAGTCTCCCTCTGTGTAAGCTGTCTTCATCATCTTACCACCACCTAACTCTGTGTGTGCACACAGGTACATATATGAAAAACACAGCTGCACCTACATGATGCAGCTGTTCACTGTAGTATATATTCAATATCTATAATAATGACTCTCTTAATTACCCAGAACATGACTGGATCACAGTAAATGTTCACCATTACACATCTGGTAAGTGGAATAATAGAAGTACCTGGAGATATGCTAGCTAATGAAAGGTGCTCAAAGAAGACAGAGAGGGGGTGCCCAATTCTTAAAGAGAAACTTGCCAAGAAAAGGTATCTAAAATGAAGCCAACTGACTTTGGATTTATAGGTAAAAATAAATCACTCCAAAATGTCAAAACAAAAGCAAAAGTGTCTCTGGACGAGAGACAGATGGAGGAGCCACTGAGACAAGCTGTGGGATGCTGTTCTTGGGTATTTCCAAAGGTCTGATGTAAAACAGGACTTTCTGAAAGCTATTCCAAAGGTAACTGTTGTGGTTTGAATAGGAATGGCTCCCACAGGCTTATGGACTTGAGTGCTTGATCACCAAGGAGAGGCACTACTTGAGAGGGACGAAGAGGTGTCGCCTGGTTGGGTTTTAGAAGCTCAAGCCAGCCCCGTAGCTCTTCTCTTCCTTCTGTCTGCTGGTCCAAGTGTAGAACTCTCAGCTACCTCTCCAGCACCATGTCTGCCTGTGTGTCACTGTGCTCTCAACCATGATGATAACGGACTAAATGTCTGAACTCTAAGCCAGACCCAATTAAGTGTTTTCCTTTATAAGTGTGGCTGTGGTCATGGTGTCTCTTCAGAGTAATAGAACACCCACTAAGACAGTAGTAACCTGTCTTATCCCATGACACAGATTACTTTCCCTTGCCAGTGAATTCACTACTGTACCTGGGTGGCATTGGAATCCATTTTCTGGTACCCAGGGATCTTCTCCTTGCTCTATCTTGAAGATTACATCTGGCTTAGTAACACAATGCCCTGTTAAGACAAAATAACACAGGACAGGTACTCAATAGCTTAGCTCTGTGAACTGAAAAAAATGAATAGAAAGATACCAAAAAGAAAAAAATATAGAAAGGAAGGAAGGCGAGAAGGAAAGGAGGGAGGGAGGGAGGGAGGGAGGAAGGTCCTCGACATTCTGCAGAGAGGTGAGACTACACCACTATCAGATCAAAAAGCAATCAGTCTTCTCAGACCCTTGAATCTGAAGCCTCAAATTGGAAATGATAAGCATTCCCTCCTAACCTTGGAAATGTATGTGACTGGCAGCTGACTGAGAAAACAAACCCCTTACCTACTGAGACAAAGTTGCTATAATTCTCCAGGATCACATCTCGGTAAAGCACCTTCTGGGCAGGGTCCAGCAAATACCATTCTTCCTTGGTGAAATCCACACATACGTCCTTGAAAGACACTCGCTCCTGTAACAAAATATTCTTTTTCTGTATAAAGTCATTAGATTGAGCAATATTGAGAAGGCTTAGCAGAATGAATTTCTTCGGAGGGCAATCCCCTTTTTGGCTACACTGTATAGAATAAAATAAAACATCTTGTACAAATTGAGATTCTGCTAAGGGCCTGGGAGTGTTTTAGTTGCTATGAATACTGCTGAGGCAGGCAAAAACACAGTTCCTATTCTCAAAAGTGCTTATGACCTGGTCAGGACAGTTATATGTACATTTAATAAGTGGATGTGTCAGGCCTGGCAGTAGACTTTACTTTTTATTAGGAAGTGTACTTGAAATGGTTAAATAAATGCTGATACTGATAAACAAGAGACAGGCTCCCACTAGAAAAGCCCATGGCTGATTGAAGTGCCTGCCCCTGTGGTCTAACATCTGCAGAACCGGATGAGCCCTTTCTGACAGAGGAGATTATTGCCTGGAGTCTTGTAAAATGTTTTTGGAAAGCACCGTGGTTTTATTAAGCAGAGCAAATGGTTTCATGATATGTGAACAAATAATGAACAAGAAATAAAATAAGCAATATAAGCAGACCCACGGATGACCCGGTTTTTGTAATCATTAGGTATGAACTTCAAAATAAATTGTAGCCGATAATAGCCAAAATAAATTGAAGTTCAACAAAACAGGAAATTCAGAAAAAAATAACAAAAGGATGAGAGAATTCAACAGAGGGGTATGGTGTGTGGTTACAGAAAAAGTTAGGATAGCAGACCAAAGGCTACTCTCCTCTAATGGTTTCCTACTTCTTTTTCTGGGTCTCTTTTCACACTCACACAAATGATTACACATTAGTACACAAGGCACTATTGTTTGTGCCCCTATATTCTCTAAAGCTGGTACTTAAGAGATCATGATTTCAAAGATGACACGGAACTCTATTTTCATAGTGTAGTCACCTCTCAATAGTGAGTACACTGCAAACAATCCCCATGAGAGGCCCAGGAACAGATCCCACAGGCTGCCACCTGGACCATGATGTCTTTTGCTGTACAGAAGCGTTTTAGTTTCATGAGGTCCCATTTGTGAATAGTTGCTTGACAGAACACCCTCACAAGCACCTGTTAGTTGAAAAGTATTGCCCATCTCCTCTAATAGGTTCTGGGCCTCAAGTCTTACACTGAGGTCCTTCATCCACTTTTTATTTTGGACTTGTATTAGGAATGAGAAAGAAGGATGATGTTTCATTCTTTGTAGCTATTCAGGTAGACCAGTTCCATTTGTGGAAGACACTGTCATCTCCAATGGGCATTTTAGCCTCTTTTTCAAAATCCACATGGCTGTAAAATTTATGAAGTTTTCTGGGTCATTAATTCCATTCCGTTGATCAGTGTGTCTATTTTTTGACACATCATTATATGGCTTTTATTACTACAACTCTATATCATAACTTAAAACCTGGGATAGTGATTCTTGCAGCTGTACTTTTTATTCTTTAGAGGAATGTGGGTTGTCCTGGGTCTTCTGTTCTTCCATATGAATTCTAAAATATTTTTTTCAATTTCTGTGACTTGCATTTATTTATTTATTTATTTATTTATTTAGTTAGTTAGTTAGTTAGTTAATTTAGTTAGGTTTTTCCCCCCAGGGTTTCTCTATGGAACATCGCTGGCTGTCCTGAAACTCACTTTGTAGACTAGGCTGGCCTCGATGCATACAGATCTGCCTACCTCTGCCGAGTGCTGGGATTAAATGCATGTGTCACCATGCCCAGCACATTGAAATGTTTAAGGGACTGCATTCAATCTGTAGATTGCTTTGATTGGATGGTCAGTTTCACAATATCAATCCTATCAGTACAAAAATATGGGAGGTTTTTGTTCTGGCTTCCTGTGTCTTTATTAATTTTGTTTTTTAAAGTTTTCACTGTACAGGTCTTTCAATGACTTAGATTCATCCTTTTAAAAGTTTTTGAAGCTACTGTGAATGGATCACTTCCATTCTTTCCTTCTCCGTGGGATCATCAGATGCACATAAGGCGGCGATTGATTTTTTTGTGTTTGTGTCCTGCTACTTTGCTGATTTTATCAGCTTTAAGACATTTCTGGTGGACTCTTTAGATCTTTTATGTATAGAATTGTATTATCTGCAAATATTGGTAATTTTGAGTTTGTTCTTTCCTTTGGTCTCCTCCTGCTTTCTTACTGCTTGAGGTAAGACTTTAAGCACTATGTTGAACAGGAATGGATAAGGTGGATATTGTCTTGATCCTGACGTAAGCAGAAATGCTTCTAGCTTTTCTCCATTTAGCATATGATGCCTGTGGCCTCCTGTATATTGTCTTTAGATTAGAATATGTCCCTTGTATTCATAGATTTTCTTATCCAGGACTTTTATCATGAAAGGATGTTGGATTTTGTCAAAGGCCTTTTCTGCACCTAATGAGATGAGCACATGGTTTCTGTACTTGAAACTAGTAATGTGATAGATAATATTTATTGGCTTATGCATGTGGAATCATCCCTCTGTCATTGAGATGAAGCTGACTTGATCATGGTAGATGATCTTTTTCATGTCTTTAATTTGGTTTGCAAGTTCTTTATTGAAAAAAATGTTTTGTGTCTATGTTCATCAGACTAGCCCTATAATTCTCTTTGTTGGGTCTTTGCTGGGTTTTGGTATCACAGCAATACTGAATCACAGAAAGAATTTGGGCAAGGCACGGTAGTGCACACGTTTAATCCCAGAACTTGAAGTCAGGGCAGGTGGGTCTCTGTGAGTTTGCAGTCATCATGGGCTACAGAGTGAATTTCAGGACAGCAGGGTGACAATGAAAACTTGTCTCAAAATTACTTCCACCTCACTGGCTGTTGTTAGTCTGTAACTATTTATCTCACCCAGATGTAACTCTGATAGATGACACACATTTAGGAATTCATCTACTGCTTTTAGACTTTCAAGTTACTGGGGTTTATACATTTTTAAAGTATATCCTTAATGAACCTCTCCATTTCCTCAGTATCTGTTTTAATGTCCTTCTTTTCATCTGTTATTTTACTAATGGGTCTTCTCTTTTGGGATGTGGTTTAATTTGTTTAATGGCTTGTCAATCATCAATTTGTTTCAGAGAATCAACTCTTTATTCTCTGCACCTTTGTTTCTATTTTATTAATTTCAGCCCTGTTTTTTATTACCCCTTCTCTTCCACTGTTTGGGGATTCTATTTATTCACATTTTCCCAAGGTTTGAGTGTGCATCATCGAATTGTTTAGATCCCCCAAACATTGTGATACAGGTCTGAGGAGCTGAAACTTTCTTCTCAGGATTCCCTCTGCTGTGCTCCGCAAGCTTTACTATCTTGTCTTCATTTTCATTCATTTCTGGTATTTTCTTGTTTTAAAATTTCTTCCTTGACTATATTATCATAAAATAGTGTGTTCCGTCTCTGTGAGTTTGTATATTTTCCTTATTTTCTGTCTTAATTAGTTACTATTGCTATGATAAAACATCATGATAAAAAGCAAGTTGGCATACACTTCCAAGCCACACTCCACCACTGAGGGAAGTCAAGACAGGAACTCTAGCATGGCTGAAACCTAGAGGCAGGAGCCAATGCAGAGGCCATGGAGGAGTGCTGCTTACTGGTTTTCCTCTCCACAGTACGCTCACCATGCTCTCATATAGAACCCAGGACCACCAGGGATGGCACAATCCGTGATGGGCTGGGCCTACCCTATCAATTATTAATTAAGAAAACTGCATACAGCCATACCTTGTGGAAGCATTTTCTCATCCAAGGGTCCCTCCTTTCAGATGACTCTAGATTGTTTCAAGTCAACATAAAACTGGACAGCACCTTCTATTGCTGTTGATATCTAGCCCATTTCACCGTACTCACACACAACGCAGGGTTTTTTTTTTTTTCAATTTTCCTATATTTGTTAAATCTTGCTTTGTGTTTTAATATGTGGTTGACTTTGGAAATAATTATATGTTCTGCTAAGAAGAAAGTATATTTAGTGCTTTGGTAGAATTGTTTTAGAGATCCCTGATAGAAGCATTTGATAGACTATTTAACTCTAAGTTTGTTTAGTTTTTGTCCAGTTCATTCATCTACTGGTGAGAGTAGAGTTTTGAAGTTGCCCACAATTTCTGTATTAGGGGTAATCTGTGGTGCTAGACCTAATAATATTTCATTTATGAAATTGGGTCCACTTGTGTTGGTGTGTGTGTTTAGAATTACAGTCTTATTAGTGGATTGATCCTCTGATGGGGATGAAGTCTCACTGTTAGGTATCAGAACACCTGTGCTGCCTGTTTCTTGGTTCTGTTTGCTAGGAACACCATCATCATCCTTTTGCTCTAGAGTAAAATTTATTATTAATGGTAAGGTGTGTTTCTTAGAGGTAGCAAAAATATCAGTACTGTTTTCTAAAGCAAACTGCAAGTCTGTGTCTCTTGTTTGGAGAACTGAGACCCTAAGAGTTATTCCTGAACAATGTGCATTTGTGTCTGCCATTTTGTTGGAGGCTTTTTTAGACCTCTTTTCCTCTTTTTTGATTACCTGTTCTGAAACTGTCCCAGGTGAACTTTTGAGTGCATTTACCCTTGCCTTCAGACTGAAGTATTCTTCCAGTATCCTCTGTAGAGTTGGCTTAGCAGACACATAACCTTTTAATCTATTACTGTGAGGAGTTATGTTTTCTTCCATTTTAATGGTTTTCCTGGTCGACAGTTTATTGGCCTTTCAGAACTTGAATACACCTTTCCAGGCCCTTCTTGCTTTAAATCTTTCTTCTGAATAATCAAGTGTTATGTTGATGGGCCTGCTTTATAAGTGACTTTTCTCTCTTGTAACTTTTAACATCCTGCCATTGTTCTGTGGTTTTAATGTTACAGGGAGCTTCTTTTCTGGTTCTGTCTATTGGTGCTCTATCTCTTGTATCTAGATGGCATCTTTTTCTCTAGTTTTGGGAATGTTTCTATAATTTTATTGGAAATATTTTATGTCTTATCTG